TCGGGGGGGGTCCTGGTGCGGGCTCCACAGATTTCACCCTGGAAGACGTTTGTGAAGGAGGGCTGGAATGTGTCGGAGCGTATTGTCTGGGCCTGTAGTGGGCAGATACAGGTCTAGGTTGGCTCGGGCAAAGGGGGGGTGCGCGTTGTGGTTGAACCCAGGAGGCGATGAGCGGGGGTGGGGAGGCCTAGGGTTGGGCATGATTGTGGTATAGCGTACAACAGATCTGACTTCGTCGCCCGCCTCGCCCCACGTTTCGAACTTCAATTGGTTTTCATCACACGAGTTTAAAAAATTGCCACCTCGCCGACCTTTATCCAAATATTTTTTAGTCCCAAGTTTGTCAGCTAAATGCCTAAGTTTTGTTTTATTGTGGAGTTTTGTTACACACATCTATGTCGTCTTGCGCTTGACTTTGTTTTGTCCCTTCGCTCACACCAGGTGCAGTGGTATGAAGTACTAGAATGAAGTTGGTGTACTTTTTCTGGAACAGAGATATGCAGCTGCCCTGCCTTCATCCATCTCCTTCCCCACGGAGTGAGGACAACACACAAGGCACACAGTAAGCAACAAGGGGTACACTACCCTCGTGCTCTGACATCGTCGGTGGGGTGACGGGAGGTGTCTTTCGAGAACCCGGATTGTTTGCCATGTCTGGGAACATGGACTAGTATGAGATGTTGGGCCTTATTTTTTGGAGTAGGTTGGGGTCTCCATAAGAAAAAATATGATTGGAGCAAAACCCTTTCGACTTTTTTTTCTGAAATTCGCAGGAGGCAGACATGATCCTACTGAGAGAGAAGGCACAGACAGCACAAAAGGTGGGTGCACTTCCACTTAACCACCTTGTTATCCAATACCACCCTCTCCAACTGCTCTCTCTTTTCCTCTCCCTTTTCTCCTCTCTCCCCTCCTTTCCCCCAACCCACCACCCCTCTCTCTCTTTCAGATGCTAACCGTCATGAGCTAGATCGGACTAAAAACCACGTCGTCCGCAATACAACACAACAGCGAGCCTCGGAGGACACCGCCACCTACCAAATCCGAGGTATTTACCATACAATCATCATCTCCTCGTAGACCATCATCCCTCCCGCAGTCCCGGGAGCAGTGACGACCGAGTGGTATTCTTCTGTTGTGATAATTACCCCTCTAACACACCCCACCAAACCCACAAACAACTTCCCTTGAACACCAGCCGACCCTTCGTTGTCCCAATTCCCTCGAAGAAAGGTTAGTGGGTTTGACTCATGAATAATTCATGAGTTGATGAATAATCATATAATTTGGTGGGTGTGGTTAGAATGACTTGACGATGCCGGAGAGACGTATCTCTTGTTTTGCAGTGCCACTAAACCACAAACAAAGGTAAGAATTACTTCCTAGTTGGGGATTACAATATTTTATGCCTGCTGTTCATCTTTACTTCCTCTGCAGCACATGTTCTTTTTCCTACTTCAACCGAGCAGGGAGAACCTGTTCAAGGTTACTCTGGAGTCAGAGGAAGATGTGGTGCAGTGATGGCTGGCTCGATGCCAGGGAGTAGGGAGGAAATTGGTCACTTTGGTTGCCATTGGGTTTCAGGTGACCGAGATTAGCACTCAAGTTATTTTCGACCACAGTTTGCCGTGGCGGCTGGATTGTGTTGTAACAATCAGCAACTGGAACTTTCTGTTCTGTGGCCGCTGCTGAGTTTGGAAAACCAGTTAAAGTTTCTCTCTCAGCTCACCTCCCTCCTCTCTTTCGGTGTTTCCTTCTCTCCCATCTTCCCTTCCCTTCCCATTTATTTCAATCACTCTCTTCTCCTCCACGCTATCTCTATCAGATATGCCTCATCTCGGAGAGACGACGATGAGGAGCCGGAGTTCTCGTCGGCCAAATGCCACTGGAGGAAGGGGGAGACCTTCTTCTTTGCTCCTCGTCCACTCAAGAACCTTGTTCTGGTGGATGAACTGGAGTCCCTGTCTCCCATCATGTCCGCTCATGTTAGTGTCTAGCAGAAGTGTTGGTTGGTGCATTTATGAGGTTTATCTGAACTAGATCTCAGACTTGGCCAATGAGGACACCCCGCAGCTGTACCTGGCATGTGGGCGTGGTCCCCGGTCCTCACTCCGTGTCTTGCGACATGGACTGGAGGTACGCCCCCTCCCCCTCACGCCGTCGCCATCGGTTACATACACTATCGTTTCCTAGGTTACGGAGATGGCAGTGTCCGAGTTGCCAGGCAACCCTAATGCGGTATGGACCGTCAAGACCAATGCAGCAGGTTACCTATCTCTCTCCGCATACAATATTCTGTGGAAAATTTCTAGAAAATTTGGTGATTTCTCCAAAGTTCTTCTAAAACTGAACTGTGCTCATTTTTAGCTCCAAACAAAGCCTTAAGTCTGTATGATTGTGAAATCACAAACTTTTCGTAAACTGAGGGAAAGAAGAGAAATGTGGAAGTAGTGTGTGTGTGTGTGTGTGTTGTAAGGTGGCCACTCGTTTCAGGGTGTTACCACCTCTCCCTCCTCCCCTAGGTCGCCCCCGGCAACCAATGAGGTAATGTCACACGCAGCGCACACACCAAACTGATTAGAATATAGCCAGTGAATTTATCTCATCTCTCTCTCCCCCACCCACCTACAGAGGAGTTTGACGCCTATATCGTGGTCTCCTTCACTAACGCCACTCTCGTACTCTCCATTGGAGAGACGGTGGAAGAGGTCACGGACTCCGGTTTCCTTGGGACCACACCCACCTTGGCTTGCTCTCGTCTCGGAGACGACGCCCTAATCCAGGTGCATCCGCTGTTTGCTAACTCCCCTACTGTTTCTATGAGAACGGGGTTGTCCATCAATGATTTTTACAAAGCCTAAAGTAGACCCAGTTCAAGCTACAACGTCAAGTCCTTTTTAGCTAGATCTCTCTCTCTCTCTCTCTCTCTCTCTCTCTCCTCTCCAGGTATACCCAGAAGGGATCCGTCACATAAGAGCTGACAAGAGAGTCAACGAATGGAAGTCTCCCGGGAAGAGAGCCATCCTGAAATGTGCCCTCAACGACCATCAGGTGGTCATCGCCCTCACCGGTGGAGAACTGGTCTACTTTGAGATGGATCTGGTGAGGACTGCTGACTTCCTACCATTCACCTCTTCCTTCCTCTCTTCCCCTCCAGTCAGGTCAGCTGAATGAGTACACAGAGAGGAAGGAGATGATGGCAGATGTTGTGTGTATGAGTCTCGGTTCCGTTCCACCCGGGGAGCAGCGGTCCCGGTTCCTGTCTGTCGGACTCTCCGATCAGACCGTCAGAATCATCTCGCTCGATCCCTCAGTGAGTCACATGACTCCTGCATTACATCACATGACCGTCATGTGATACCTCATGTGACAGGATACGCTGCAGCCGCTGAGTATGCAGGCGCTCCCAGCTCTTCCAGAGTCTCTGTGTCTTGTGGAGATGGGGGGAGGGGGGAGGGAGGGGGACGGGGGACTGGGGACCGTGGGCGGGCTATATCTCAACATCGGACTGACCAACGGTGTCCTGCTCAGAACTGCCCTCGATGCCATTACCGGAGATCTCTCTGATACTAGAACCAGGTCACCACCACTTGCCCTCCACAGTTCTTGTTGCTGGAAATATTTTAGCTTTTAAAAATCTTTCTCAAGACAAATGGACTTTAATGTTTGTTCCCTCACCCCCCTTCTCTCTCCCCTGCCAGGTACCTGGGTACGAGACCAGTGAAACTATTCCGAGTGAGGATGCATGGCTCGGAGAGTGTGCTGGCAGTCTCCAGTCGATCCTGGCTCTCCTACTCCTACCAGTCCCGGTTCCACCTCACCCCGCTCTCCTACGACGTCCTCGACTATGCCTCCGGCTTCTCCTCCGAGCAGTGTCCCGAGGGAATTGTCGCCATCGCTGCTAACACCCTCAGGTATTCCCCTCTCTCCCCCCTTCTTCTCCGTTCTCTGTTGTTTCCTTCATAACTGTGCTACAAGATACATGAAGGCGGCCTTGGGTATGTAGAAAATGTCTTATTTCCCTATTTGGTTATGATTTTTCAAACACTTTTGAAACAGCAAAATTTTCTCTTCAGCTAAACAAATCACATAATCTGCATTGTGCTAAACAGGATTTTGTCTCTGGAGAAACTGGGTGTGGTCTTCAACCAGGTGGCCACGCCCCTCAATTACACGCCCCGTAAGCTGGCGGTCCACCCGCCATCTGCCAATCTCTTGGTCATTGAGACGGACCACAACACCTTCACTGAGGCCGCCAAGACCGCTCGCAAACAACAGATTGCTGAGGTTTGTATATATCCTGACGGAAAAACTGTTCCCTCTCCCCCCCCAATCTCAACCCCCCCAGCTTTCATCATTTTGTGTTGGTGATTCCCCCTTGTGAGAAGATAAACTTTCAAAGTTTTTGTATATATAGCTTTTATGTCGCCATTCCTTATGGTTTTGTTACATTGAGTTACACAAATACTCTCGAAGTATGCTTCATCTGCTCTCCCTATCTCTCTCCGTGGTTACAGGAGATGGTCCAGATGGCAGGGGAGGAAGAGCAAGAGGCAGCGGCCGAGGCAGCAGAGACCTTCCTCTCGGAGGACCTACCGGAGAACCTGTTTGGAGCGGTGAAGGCGGGGGCCGGGATGTGGTCCTCCTGTCTCAAGGTCATGCACCCCACGGAGGGCAAGACGCTGGAGTTGGTCCAGTTCCAACAGAACGAGGCCGCCTTCAGGTCTCCTCATCTAGTCTTTGGCTACTCTTATAATTGGGAGGGGTGGGGGCTTTAGGTTTGCCAAGTTTACCATACCCTGGCAGTGGATACATGTATATTGGGGAAGTCGTTTAATGTTCGGTATTGTGTCCCTCTTCTACTCCCTCTACACACACACACACAGTTTGGCAGTGTGTCAGTTTGCCTCCCGCGGTGACGTGGAGTGGTTTGTGGTGGTGGGGACAGCACGGGACCTCACTCTGGCCCCCAAGACCTGCTCTGGAGGCTCTCTCATCCTCTTCAGAATGTCCCCAGACGGTTCCAAACTGGAACACGTCCACAGTGTCAGTCAATCTCCCTCTTCCTCTGAATAATACTAGTTAGACAGCTCTGTCGTCGAGCCCTAGGGCCCTTGCATTCTAGCATTCCGAGTGTATTGAGGATTCCCACGTTGGGTTTTGTATAGTGACGTACAAGGATTGTAAATCAAAGCTGCCTAAAGAAAATTATAATTAATGCACACTTGAGATCTCGTGTGTGGAACGGCATTTCTGCAAGATATTAAAGAATCCATTCGTTAAAAGCTCATTTCTGCAAAACTTGAAGACACGAATTATATCTTTTTCGCTTCCCCCCTCAGACTCCACTGGATGATATACCAGTGGCAATGCATCCGTTCCAAGGTCGTCTTCTTGTAGGAGTGGGCCATCTCCTGAGGATCTACGACATCGGGAAGAAGAAGATGCTGAGAAAGTGTGAGAACAAGCATCTGCCTCACATGGTGGTCGATATTCAGACCATGGGCAGCAGGATCTTCGTCTCCGACGTCCAGGAGGCTGTCCACTTCATCAAGTACAAGGCTGCTGACAACCAGCTGGTCATCTTTGCCGACGAGGTGTACCAGAGGTCTGTCTGGGAGAGGGAGGGAGGGCAGCGTGTGCCTCTTTTAGATTATTCTGTTTTTGAGCATTGTCTGTATTAATGGTGTAGCAGGCAATGATGTCAGTTATTAACTTTCGTTCTCCTGACTACTGCATCACATGATGTCATGTGACACCACTGAGCCCGCTGCTTACGGCACATATTCAAAACTCGTCCATCGTTGCCCCTTATTTTCCGTGTTATTTATTGTTATCATTTCTCCCCTGTTGCTAGGTGGATGACCAGCTGCTGCATCCTGGACTACAGTACGGTCGCAGCTGCTGACAAGTTTGGAAACGTTGCTCTGGTCAGTGGGCACCTCCTCCCTCTCTCTCTCTCTCTCTCTCTTTCACTCAGTCTGTCAGTGGGCACCTCCTCCCTCTCTCTCTCTCTCTCTCTCTCTCTCCAGTCTGTCAGTGGGCACCCTCCACCCTCTCTCTCTCTCTCTCTCTCTCTCCCAGTCTGTCAGTGGGCACCCTCCACCCTCTCTCTCTCTCTCTCAGTCTGTCAGTGGGCACCCTCCACCCTCTCTCTCTCTCTCAGTCTGTCAGTGGGCACCTCCTCTCTCTCTCTCTCTCTCAGTCTGTCAGTGGGCACCCTCCACCCTCTCTCTCTCTCAGTCTGTCAGTGGGCACCTCCTCCCTCCCAGTCTTAGTCACACTTTTAGTCACTGAACTTGCTGAGACTTTCAGCCTGCGACTTGTACTGTGGATGTGAATGTCGTTACAATTCACGCTCTTCTCTGACTTAGAGTAGCCCTCCTTTCTCCTCGCTCCCATTTCCCCGTCCTCTTCTCTTCAGGTCCGACTCCCGGCAGACGTGTCCGACGAGATCGACGAAGATCCAACAGGGAACAAGGCCATCTGGGACCGAGGTCTCATGAGTGGGGCCTCTCAGAAAGTGAGCCATTTTTCAATCTACACCATTTCCTATTATCCTAAGTATAGCGGTGAATGTTCAAATGAGAAAATCAGTGGTTGAGTGAACAATAACTTGACAAAGGTTCCTTGGGTGCAGATTGCCATGAAATGTTTCTCCGGCGATGCTGTGCAGAGAAAATGACACGTGGCCCCTAAACACAGAGTTTGCGAAAGTTTTCTTGTTTGAATGTTGACTGTTATCCAGTATGATACTTGTTTTTGCAATAAGTCATTTCCTCTGGTTCACAGCTTATCTTCCCTCCATTTCCCCTTCCCTTCCTCTACCATTAGAGCCGGCTTTAATTATTGTGAATTGCATATTATAGCAAGATGGTAACTAATACCAGTTGAAGTACTATTCCAATACACAATGACAGCAATTAGTGTGTCTACTGCATGCTCTTGTGTCTCCGGCCTTTTAACCAGACACATACATCTTATGGCGTAATAAGCCTTTCCTGCATGTATCTTCTCTCTTCTCTTCCTCTCCCATTCCTGTCTCCCAGGCTGAACTTCTCTGTAGCTACCACGTGGGAGAGACCATCAACTGTCTCCGAAAGACCACCCTCATTCCTGGCGGCTCTGAACTCGTCGTCTACACCACACTCTCTGGAGCCGTGGGCATGCTCGTACCTTTCACCTCTCGTGAGGTGGGCGGGGTCACTGGGTGGGGTAGATAATCAGCTGTGTTGGTGGGCGGGGTCAGTGATGAGCAGTAGCCGCCCCAGGCAGAGTTTTCCTCTGAAGAACGGCAGACCCTCTGAGACCAGATGGAATTTCATACCCAATACTGTTTACAGCTACACGTGTGGCCTGTTTTGCCTTCATCTGTGTGTGGGTGCGTGTGTGCGTGTGGTTACTGCTTCAGTTTCTTATGCTCATGGCTACATGTGTGGCTTGCTTTGCCTTCCCCTGTGCATGTGTGTGTGCATGTCTGTGCGTGTGTGTGTGTGGCTAATGCTTCAGTTTCCCTCTCTTCTCATTTGCCTCCTCATCCTGGTCCCTATTCTCCCCTCCCTCCCTCCCTCCCCCTCTTCGTTACTCAGGATATTGATTTCTTCCAACATCTGGAGATGCACATGAGGGCGGAGTCCTCCAACCTCGTCGGTCGCGATCACCTCTCGTTCAGATCCAGTTACGTACCTTGCAAGGTGAAAACTCTAAAAACAAAAATAAACTCTCCTGTACCTTGGGTTTACTGATGAAGGAAGTTGTGTGTATCTAGAAAGTACACTGAGCTCATGAGTCACTGGAGTGGAGCTTCCTCCTGTGTGTGCTTTGTGTAGTGACATGAAAGTATGCCGGAGGTCAAAGGTCTGCACTGGCCCTGGGTGGCTGGACAGCTATACCCTCTGGTTTGCTGTCTTCTCCAAAGTTTCTCACATTCTCTTACATGCCGGATGGCTTGCCGGCACTTACGAATGCCAGTGTGTGCCTCTATAGAGCCTTGTTATTACGAGGACCTTCCATTCCTTTCACTACCGAGAGGGATATCCTGTGCCTTGTATTTCAGACTAGAGGAAATGAAATGTGTACCAGTGCTGTACGTAACTACATTCTCTTTTTTAACATCCTGTCTCCCTCTCCCCCCACTGTTACAGAGTGTCACAGATGGTGACCTCTGTGAGCAGTTCAACTCACTGGAACCAGCCAAAAAGAGGGGTATTGCGGACAGCCTTGACAGGACACCCAATGAGGCAAGACAACCACTAACCCCCACTTGGAAGGCAGCTGCATTTCATTGTGCTCTGTTTCTTTACAAATGCAGGTTGCCAAGAAACTAGAAGACATTCGTACTCACTATGCATTCTAATTGAAGAGCACCCCTCCGAACCTAAATTCCAAACACGTCTCCACACACCATGCACCTGTAGTTACATAACCTTATACGTGCATTGTACAATACAATTGATGTTGAAAGTGACTGCTTAGCAAAACAGCTGCTTTCCCTTGTTGTGTGAGAACTGTGTGCTGTGTGTAATGGAGCTATATTATGTTTCCCATGCTTTTTCTCCCAAAATGTGTGGAGTCACAAGTTTACTTATTGAGGGTCTGGAAGGTTGTTGTGGGCTGATAATGATTATGTATAGAGAGGGAGCATGTAAGAGTGACTATAATATAAACTAAGGGGCGGGTGGTATTCATAACACCCACCACTCACATGATTGCGTGCCTCAATCGGCATGTGCATTAAATTCCTATCGAGTATTATGTTGAGATACTTTATCCTGGTCTCGGTAGCCTCGTGTATAGTGCTAGTGTAGGTAACGACACAATGGGGTGGGTGTGGTTCGACTATACATGCTTGCAGCTCAGGAAGGGGGCTGTGTTTACACACATGCGTAAGAGAGAGCATTATCGGCAGGGTAATGGTTCAAAATTTCTCAATTCCTCTTCAAACTCGATGATGTCACTGTGTTTGTATATACCCCACCTTGCTGAGGGCGTGAACCAGCCAGATTGCTAATTGGCTGAGCTATGCAGGCAAAGTTGCAAGTTCAAAAGGAAGGACGGTGCTGTTTAACCGCCCATATACTGCTGATCAGAGCCAATCCCTCGAGTCACAGGCTGCATGCTTCAAAGAGCTGTGCAACATGGCGAAATAGATCACTAGGGAGGTGCCTAATATGGAGATGGCGAGTTTCCATCTTTGCTGGTCAAGGACACAGCTAACGCCCTTCTCGAAGTTACAAGGACACCTTCTTTACTTGCAAAACTTCCCTTTGGCGTGCTCAAAGGACGCAGAGACATGCACTCAGCTCTCAATCGGTGCTGTGGTAAACAAATTGGGATAAAATGACTGTCTATTGTGCACAGCAATAACAACAACAGTGACTGGGAGAGTGGGCTACAATTAGAGTAGGGTACAAATACAGGTGAATTGGACACACCCTGAAGTAGGGGAAATGAAAAACTCCCAGGCAGTAGGATATGAACAAAAAGTGCTGTAAAACAGAATGCGGTAAATTACTAGGGTGAAACCCCACAAACGTGATCCAAAATTGAGTGACAGTTGTGTTCGTCCAGCGACACACACACACACACACACACCACTACCTGAGGGGAGTGGGGAGGAGGAGGAGGAGGGGGAGGGGTTAGAACTGGGACTGCTCGAGGAATCCATGGACGTGTCGCGGCAGGGGTAGCTGACGTATGCAGTCGAATCTGATGCTCTGGCGAATGACAAACCGACAGTAGTGCTGCAACGATCGCACCTGGTTGAATCGAGAGAGGGGCTTGAGAAGGCGGACAGGCACAGCTGGGGATCCCATGGCCTTCCCACGACTGAAGCAGAATATCCCGGCCTGGGAGTGCCGCATGGACCACTCAATGAGGTCGACGATGGAGCGGTAGCCCTCCGCGTCGGAATCAGGGAAACTGTAGAAACTGAAGAAGCCATTGGAGTACTCTATGCGGGTGTGTAGGGTCTTCCCCTGCGAGCGGAAACTGAGACTCAGCAAGTAGCGATCGTCTGAGCTGTCTCGAACGAGGAACGTCCCGTCGTCTGCACCCTGTAGCTTCTCCTCCGCCTCCACTCGTGTGATGGGACCCCAATACCATCCGTAGGTGGCAACGTTTCTCAGACCTAGTGTCAGTGGGTTGGACCCTCTCATCCGGTGCTCAACGAGCTCGTACATGTCGCTGTCGTCGCACACGCTGCGTTGATTTCTCACTATTGTTGCCATGGAGACCTCAGGCTCCGCCCGAGGACGGAGGGGAGGGTGGGAGGAGGCGAGAGCCGAAGGTCTATCCCTGCCACTTCCACTAGAGTCCCGCCCAGACTCACTGGGGATGGGGGGCAAAGGTCGCGATATCAACCTCTGTTCGTACTCTTCTAGAACACTGACAGTGTCCTCGAGGAAGCTGATGGAGGAAATCCTAATGGGAACTGCCGGTCCACATTCGCCTTCCTCGTCATCCGGAGTATCTGGTAGCTGTTTCTCTCTCCTCCTCCGTGGAACTGGGGCTGCAGTTACTGTTGCAGCTCTCCCTAACTGTCGCTGGCTGCTGTAGGTACTGTACCACCTCCCCACGTCTTTCATCGGACCAAACGCCTTGTCAAACGCAGCCTCGTCGTACATGGAGTTGGCAGGGACCAGCTGGTAGGCCGACTCCTCTTGGTTGTAGAGGCCTGGAGAGGAGGCCTCCTGGGACAGGGAGGGCGAGGGGACCAGGGCTTTCGACGGCTGAGCCGGGGAGCTGTTGGATTCCGTCTCACTCCCGTCGGCTTTGGGGGCTTGCTCGAATCCAGAGTCTACTGATTCGTCGCTGTCCTTGCGAGTGACGCCCGGTGATGGGTGGAGTCCATTGGCCACACCCGACGACGATCTCCTGAGGCTCTCTTCGTACGGATCGAGATAGCCTTCCATCCAGTGCAGAGTTCTTGTTTTGGCTCCGCCCTTATCTCCGCCCACTCCCTTATTGTCTGGTCGCACTCTTGCCGGGAGAGTTGCTGACTTGCCACTTCCCGTTGCTGCCAGCGCGGAGTCCAAACTGACCCCACTACTCCGGTTCTTCCGGAGTTTACCCCGGAGTATCCCCATGACTGTTCTACTCCGGAGCCTGACGTCTTCGTCCCCCATGACTTCTTCCCTTTCCCTGGAGAGCGAGAGCTCTGATTTCTTCGACCAGAGTTTTGGCATTCTTGTGATGTGTGCCTGCGGTCGGGTATTCTGCCGTGAGGTGGAACGACAAGGAGATGAGCATGTGTTTTCACATACACACAGCTGCACTAGATTTAGCTACAACAATACACACACCTGCCTAGCCTCCCTCCTCTCGATTTGTCCGTCTTTATATACACTCTGATACTACGTACGACGATATCAAGGAGGAGCCGCACTGGAATACTACCGTTCCCCCCACGCTTTTCACGCACAAACACACGGGGGTAGAGTGAGGTTAGCCTGAATCGCTGTACGCCTCTAGCAATGGCGAGAGACGACGGTAAATGCCGAGTCATAACCTAGGACGCACCCCAAAAAATTCGCGCAAGTAGTATAAGACAGAAAAGCAGCCGCCATTTTGGCAACAAGCGAGCGGTCAATCTGTCTGTTTGTCTCCCCAAACCCCCTGCAACTCACCACGAGATGAGGCGAGCGTGTGGAAGAGTCCAGAAGTCTGCCAGCTATCCGTTCTCTCTCCCCCTCTCTCACAGACTAATACTGTCAGATTGCGGAATGTTCTCTATCACCGACACTGAAAGAGGCGTGGTTTTATAATTGGTTCAAATGACGCAATCTAATGACGTCATGTCATGTGACAATTGATCGACGGTGGTCGTGTTGAAAGACTTCTCGAAGCATTTGCATTTTTCTGATAGAGACGGAGAGAGGGAGCGGGAGAAGATGCCGTCCTTCAGGGCTGAGAAGCTGAGAGTGAATCTACGACTCTCTATCAACAGACTCAAGCTTCTGGAGAAGAAGAAAAGTGAGTGTAAATTCACATGTACCTTCTATTCCTTCCTCCTTCCCGGGCCAGTAATACATCATACAACACGCTGTCCCTGGTGCGGATGGGAGCGTGTGAGTAATGTGTGTTTCTCTGTCTGCAGCGGAGACTGCGATGAAAGCAAGGAGGGAGATTGCCGACTACATGAAGTCAGGAAGAATCGAGAGAGCCAGAATCAGGGTTAGTATGTACGATGTGTAGCTTGGCCTTACTATGTACTGGGCCTTGTATGTGGAAGAGTAGAGCATACTTCTCTCTAGTGAAGGCCACCTGATGTACAGGCCTCTGTGTTGGATTGATGAGTGTTAGTTCCAGTCATGTGACTGCAATAATGATTAGCAAACAGTTCCAGTTTAGTGTGATACACCTGATCATGTGATGTGTGGACGACTCAGCCATTACATCATGGTGATGTCACTACAGGTGGAACACATAGTCAGGGAGGACTACCTCGTGGAAGCCATGGAAGTGATCGAGTTGTACTGCGACCTTTTGTTGGCTCGTTTTGGGATGTTGGAACAGATGTCGTAAGTCCCTCCTCCCTCCGTCTTTACTCCCAGTCTTTTCCTCGTACTAATGCTGTTACCTGCGTGTGTGATTAAGGTACTGTGAGGAGAGCATTGCCGAAGCAGTGGCCACACTGATCTGGGTGGCTCCAAGACTATCAGCCGACGTACAGGAACTGCTTGAGGTGTGTGTGTGTGTGTGTGTGTGTGTGTGTGGTGTGTGTGTGTGTGAACTCTCCCCTCTCTTTCTCTTCCTCTACTGTATGTGTGACTCCTTAACACTGACTTTGTAGGTATCGAGACAATTTGAGCACAAGTTTGGAAAGCCGTTTGTCCAGCAGGCCAGGTCAAACCTCTCGGGCACCGTCAATGTCAAGGTATATAGAGACCCTCTCCCTCCCTTCACTCTATATACACTCTCCCTATACTACTGTTACCTCCATATCTTGAAAATGTACCTGACTATGTTGTACTATCTTGTCAGGTGATCCACAGACTGGGTGCTGAGGCTCCGAAGAAGTCTCTGGTCGAGAACTACATGGTGGAGATTGCTCGCAACTACCACATCGACTACCAGCCAGACCCCACCATGTTCATGGTACATTTCACACTCTCTCATTAGCCAGGTGATATCAGGGTCTCTCTCTTTGTGTCTAGGATGATGAGGACACCCTGCCACCTGATACCGAGGGGGTCTTGCTGGCGGACGAGCCACAGGCACTGCCTATGAAGACAGATCTCCCTCCGACTGCATTCCAGCCGCCCCCACCCTCTACCTACCACCAGGGGCCTCCTCCTCCAATGGACCCTGGTCCTCCTGTATGTTGAGTATTACAGTGAACATCTGAATAAGGAGCCTCCGGATAAAGGACACCTCTCTATATGTTCTGCCCCACACTATTACATTTGTGTGTTTAATTACCTCTGAATGAGGTATGTTACTGAATAAAGAGATGTCCAAAAAGTGTCACTTCACTGTTCATTCAGTTTCTTGTCACCCACAGCCTAGTTACCGTGGACCCCCGGCTCACCAAAACCCTCATCTCCCACCTCCCACCAACCAACACCTCCCATATGTAAGACCACACTCTCTTACACCAACCTCCCTCCATGATTCACTGTCTGCTCTTTCTATCTGTGCCCCTTGTTTCCTCAGCCCACAGGTCCACAGGGAGGAGTTCAGCCTCCTCCGCTGCCTGGAGCAATGGGTGGAGTCCCCCCACCAGCCCTGGACCTCCCTCCAGTCCCCCACACCACTCTCCCTGGCTCCAACAGTGGAGGCTCGGGGGGCGGAGGGGGTGACGTCGACTTTGACGACCTCACTCGCCGCTTCGAGGAACTCAAGAGGAGAAAGTGATGTGTCGCTGAGCAAACTGTCTTACACAATTACATTTTATTTCTTGACTGTTAATTATACTGTGTATATATAATATGTTTCTCATGGTCGTATATAGCTAGCTAGCTAGCGCGCAGCAATACATTTTGTGCTGCGCACGCGCATACCAATTCGCAGACACGCCCATGTTCTTATGCGGCCCGTTGTTATGGTGATGCAACTGCGTTCACGCGCGCGCGCGCCGTGCACATGGTGTTTCCAGCTCTCTCTAGCTAGCTAGCTACATAGCTCTCTGGTCGACCTCTAGCTGGCTCTGTGTGCATTTCGCAACCCAAAACACCCCGGCCGATGGTGATATATTAGCCAGCACACCGGGGAGATCAGTAGGTTTGTGTGACTCTCTATTTATACTCGACTGAAACCCCGTAGAGATGCATGAAACTGGTCCTCGCTCCTACCACAACCAGCACTTGCACCTCACCCCTTCCCACTCTGATCCACCGTCCTCCCACCTCTGCGGGTACCTGCAGTCCTAGAGAGAGTCCTCTAGCCTCCTATGTCATCCAGAGGGAGAGACGCAGGACCTTCCTCCAGAGGGGGCCAGGGTATTGGCTCACAGACCTCGGGTACGACATCTGGTTCCTTAGCGATCCTTTACATCTGCCTCAAAACACCTGCCTCACGTAGAGGGTTGCCTCTACGTGAGTTCCTGAAAATAAATGTTTGGTTAACGTGAATTTGGCAGTGATCCCCCTACAGACAATGGCATGTGATAAGAAATTATGCCGAAATGTTGCCCTGTACCACGTTTTTCATGCCTATCTTTCAACGTTGTTTCAGGTGCCTCTTTCAGCACTGTCCCCTCCGAGTGTCTCTCTGGGAGCAGTCGGCGGACATTTCAACTCAACCACAAAGATAAAGTTCGTTCCTCTGCCCACCATCTCCCCTCACCCAGCTATTCATCGCGGTGTGCGGAGCATTCGCGTCCACACAGACCGATATTTGCCTTCTTCAGAGATGCAGCGATATCGCGGCCACAGCACCATCTCTGATTCTCTCCTCCACCTCCCTTCCCTGGACAACCGACCAAAAACTAGACTAGTCGCACAAGAAAAGGCTCTCAAGAGGACGAGAGAGTTCAAGAGTTGCTCCGGCGTGCTACCTCACAGGGTCGAGCAACCGTTCTACATGAGTGGACACAGAGCACCGATTGTGGGCAAGGAGGAAGAGGTGCATATGATGGAGGAGGAGAGGAGAGTCCATTTTTCAAAGAACGCTACCCTGTTCTATGGTCGAGGACTGGCTCATCATCCAGTGAGCTCCTGTGGCGGAAGAGAAGCTGTGAGGAGATTCGAAGCGAGACTGAACACAGCAACACTGGAGCAGAGGAGGATCCATGAGCACGGGGAAGATGTGGAAGAAAATGAGCAGACGACAGACGATTGCAAAGGACATATCTTCCTAACAGAGACAAGGACAAGAACTAATGTGTAACCCTCCTATATACTGTCGTCTGTCTTTGATTGCGCCCTCTGCTAAACGGGGGCGATTACAAGAATGACGTAATGTTGATCAATAAAAAGTCAAGTGTATTCATCTGTTATGCGATTTTGTGGCCGAGTTAGTCCTCCGTCTAGTCGGTCGTTTAGTACTCACTGTGCTACGATATTCCAGTCTAGAGAGGTAAACGCGGCTGTCGACCATGGCGGAAGTGACGAGGGAGACGATCCTGGACTACATGCGGTCCAGGGGCGGCGTCGTAAAGAACGTGGACCTGGTCCGCCACTTCAGGAAGTACCTACAGCTCAGCGACCAACGCGCCAAAGGTGTGTGCACTGCTGGAGTTTGTTTACGGTCCTCCAGCCTCTCAGGCTCTCACGGTCCCCAAGAATAACACTCGAGAGTGGCGAAGCTCTCTCGCAGAGTTTTGGTTTCGGGAGACTTCAAAGGGAGCGCGTTTAGTGGTCCCGACTTTTGTGCGTATACCGACTCCACAGGCCGAGAAAGACTTTGTTGTGCGCCAATCAGCACCTAATTCTGCCTGCTGGCTCGGTGCCCGCTCCGCTGTCAGTTTTTTGGGCATACATAGGCAACCCTCCAGGACTAGCTCTGTTAGTTGTTACGAACGAGATTGCTGTATAATCCGCTGGCTAGCGCTCCAAGTGCTACTGGCACAGTCAGTAGATCAGAGAACTCTATCTTCCATAGACGGGAACTAGCCGGCTGTTGTTGGTGAGCCTGTAACCGTATTAGTTAGTGTGGGTTCCATGATTGGACTGTGTATGCATTTCGAGTGAGATCTGCCATGTGGAACAATGTGTACAGTCTGATCCGCTGTTGAACCCCAAAATATGTGCTCTAGTTATGAGGATTCAGGTAATAAGGTTGCTCTGTAGCAACGGAGCACTTGTCTCCAGGCCAGTGGCATGAAGCCGTTGGGTAGACCTCAAACAAGACATGTTGTTGCATGTTGTTGTTGTTGTGCATGTGTGTTTTCAGATGAGGGAGGAAAGCGGAGGTTGATATGTTTTTTTTCCTCTCCCTCACCCACTTTCTCTCTCTCTCTCCAGACCAAGCAAGAGAGAAGTTCAAAGCTAGGGTCAACGAGGTAGCCTACATCAAGGCTGATAGCAAGGTTTGCACCACCACCATTATGTGTGTGTGTGTGTGTGTGTGTGTGTGGAGGGCTGACCTGAGATCAGTGATAGTGTGTCAATATGTGTAGGCAGGTATTCTCCACAGTCTGCTGGTTATCAGGGCTGAGGTGGTGATACTGGGCCTTTGAATGACTTCATTCATCTCCTAGCACCCACCTCTGTAGTCTGTACACCCTCACTGACAGAGTGTCCGTCGACAACATTGCTTCTTTTTTCGTCTATCTCTCTCAGGGTGAAAAGTACTTGTATCTGAAAGCAGAGTACGCCACTACTACAGGCCAGTCAGCTTCTAGTGACAGGGGCTCCGCCCATATCACAGTCTCCACCAAACTAGACTCCGCCCACTCTCTGCTCTCCAAACGGGACTCTGCCTACTCAATCTTGTCTGATTCGTCGGGCTACAATCAGGGAACTCCCAGCCCAAGACACACTACTTCAACAACCAACAGACAGACTCCACCGCGAGCATCGCCTGCTCACACCTCCAGCTCTACTGCAGGACCATCCCGCTATCAATCGGGACAGTCCAGTTACCAATCAGGACAGGCGCGTAACTCTAGGGACCCGCCCGACTCCGCCCCTCTCTCTCTTCTCGGAGACTCTCTCCTCTCTGACTCCGCCTTCTCCTCGTTTCTCGGTGGGGGCTCTGTGGGCGGAAGCTCTTCAGCCACACACAAAACCACACCCACAACAGGTGGAGGCTCTTCAGCCACACCCAGAACGTCAACAGTACTGGGCGGAGGCTCTTCAGCCACACCCACTACTAACTCGAGCCCTAACAAAAGCCCTTCGGCCAAAGCCACACACACCACTCTATCAGGAGGAGGCTCGCCAGCCACGCCCACTACTGGGATTGGAGCCACACCCACCAGCGGTGCAGGCGACTCGTCGTTTGCCAGTGACATATTCGGAGCTATAGGAGGAGGGTTCTGGAGCGATTCAACTGTCACTAGTAGTGACACAAAGACTGCCAGTAAACCCTCTGCTCCTCCCACCACCTCCTCGTCCAGTGGTACTAGACGTCACTCCTCCTCTAACAGAGGTACAGTTCAGCACCAGGGCCTCTATAATACAGGTGTATACCTACATATATGCCGGTGAACTTGTACAACATTAGGAGTTAGCTTGATTCCAACCCTGGCATTGTGGTTAGACAGATTCTGACCATGTACATTATACTAGAGACATGATACAGTCCCTACCGGACTCTTAGTATGCAATCTGATCTAGGTCTTATTGCCGTCTATTACCTTTCTCAGTTGACTGACACACGCGCACACACACACACACACATCTTGTTCCTCATTTGATCGGTTCCTACATTCCACTGTGGAGGAAATAAGTACCCAGTTTCCAGGGAAGGTCTCCACATTCTGTACATACATGAAGTTGGGTTCTCCCCACTCTTAGGAATGTAGGGTATGCCGTCAATGTTCCCAACCGGTCTCAGTGGTAGTACACACCTCTGTATGTACTGTCGTAGAGGGAGGAAAGCATTCTTTGGTTATCAAGTACATTCCTGACATTCTTTGTCTGGCGGTCTAGAACTGTTAGCAGCTGCGTGCTGACTATACGCTGGTCCTCTTTTCAGACAATTTGTACTGGTACAAGATAAGATGTTAATGCTGTCACTACATGTACTACATGTGTATGTAGTGTATGCAGCTCTATACTACGCACACCTGTTTAATATGTGTGTTGTATAAGGTGTGTGGGGTCTGTCCCATTGTGATGTATGTAGAATATAGTTTGCGAGCAAAGCTAGCCTGCCTGTAGTTGTAGTTGTGTGAACTGCGCAAATTTTCTAGCGAGACTGGCACTGCATATGCAGTAATGTTTTACACGTGATTGTCAATTCCCGAAGCAAACACCAGTGCACGAACTATACGCCTGGCATTGCGTAGTTCTTTCACCGGTGCTGCTCAAATGTTCTCTAGTCCACTGCCATAACACACACTGCCCTGTATGATGTGTACACAGGCTGGGACTTCACAAGTTGCTGGGACTTCACAAGTTGCTGGGACTTCACAAGTCGCTGGTAGCAGTCCTCTGACATAGTAGCTCTTCAGTCGTACAGACCCCTCTCCTCTCCACCTCGCCAACCCTCCCCTCCTCCCCCTTCACACACCTCTCCACCCACCACCAGAAGAGCTGCCCCGCAGCCTCCTCAGCGGAACTTGAACTACATTAAAACCCACCCCTCCTCCTCCTCATCGTCTGCTGCCCCTGGCTCGGGAGGCTCTGTCTTCAGTCCTCCTCCTAGAGTGAGTAACCATGTGTCCACTATCAAAGTTCTGTTTTCTTTGCATCTCATCTTAGATTCATCTCTACGTTGCAGATGCTAAGTAGTCTGTGCAGTCAGTGGCTTATGTGGGTCTCGTGTTGCCGAGAGTGGCCTTATTCCACACTCCTTGAAATGCATGTTTTGTTTTTTGTCAAACAAGGACCAAAATATCTGCTGTTTGAAGTGATGATGTAATGTATATAGGACAGAGTATGTCTAGCATGGAGCAGGCGGAGACTACTGAACCTTTTTGCAAAAATCAAACTGCATTCTCAGTGTCCGTGTACTGCTGTAATGTAGCTTGGGATTAGTCACTCCACTGGCCAAGATTTGCAGACAATTTGATTGTTCTCACGGTATTGTTTGTAGTGTGTGCTGCCAAGAATGCCATTTTCCATAGAAAACACATCACCTATCTCTCTCTCTCTCTTTCCCAGACCTCAACCACAGAGGGAAGCAGTCTGCTGTCTGATCTGACCAGTGAACTTGCCTCTTTCGGGGAGCTCGGCAGTCTTCTCGATTCGTTTGGTGATTTCACTAAAAAGCCCGCCACAACGTCGACCCAGCCTCCCAGGTCCACGGCGCAGCCAATGACAGACCGTACCGGTCCCCTGACTGGTTCGTCTGGTTCCTCAACGGACCGGTCCAGTGTGACACTGGTGGGAGAGACGAAAGCCACCGCGCCTCCCGCCTCATCTCCTCCCTCCTCCACCTCACACAGCAGGGGGAGTCCTGCCAAATGTGAGAGAATGCCTGCATCTGCCACTCTGTTGTGTTGTTGTCATATCATTGGAGAGGCAGTAAAAGCCTTTCTGGCAACTGAAAGAAGGCTTGGCCCCTCCATTAGTTCTCAGATAAACCATTCCTCAGGTCCCTTCCCACCCTACAAATACCTACTGTTTGCTATACACACTCACTAGCCAGTTATCATACACACTTGTGCTAAGGCTTTGAGTGGTGAATGTGATCTGATGCCCACTGGCCCTTCCCTTGTTTATTCCTATCTATTGTGGGGGAAACACTGGCGGGCTGGCTAATGGGCCTTGGAATTCAGGGCCTTCCTCTCACTGTCTGTACATATATACAACCACACACACACGCACACAATCAACTCTACAAGGAAGTGCACACAATCAACTCTGCAAGGAAGTGCGTAACATGGAGGATGTCTGGAGGATGTCGAGAGGTTTCCTTTGTCCTGTTGCTTTTTCCTTGCTTTCGTAATCCGATGTGTGTTCCCTTCTAAAGATGGTATCTCTCTCTCCCAAATTTCATTTCTCCCTCATCTATCTTGAAACATGCACGCTGCCTCAACAGCAACAGGCAGCATCACTGTGTTTCGGTTTACATAATCAATGCTTTCCCCTTCTCTCTCTCTCCTAAATCAAACATGGGTCTCTCCCAAATCATGTTTCCCCTCTCCTTTTACCTCTCTTCCGCTTTTTTGTTTGAAACACAGCCCAAACAGCCGCAGGTGGTATCACGGGGGTGAAGTTGACTCCGCCCCCTGCCCCCGGGAGTCCAATGAGGGTCACTCGGAACCAGAGGACAGGGGGGTTGACCTCTGACCCCCCTCCCTCCCCCCTCTCTCGTCATTATGGCTCCCTGGATGGGCAGGAGGGGTCTCCTCGTATCAACATTCACAGAGTCCACTCCCCCAAATCAGGTTACATACTGTCTTCTCTGTATATATATGTGGAGTTGGCTGAAATCTGCGTTTGACTTTGGGAAAAGTAGTCAGCTACGTATCTCACTATAAAATCATTTTCAGACCTGCTGTCTGTTGGTGTGTCCACCATTGTGTCCACACACACACAGTTTGTGAAGGGTTGATACAATGTGGCTTTTCTTTCTCTCTTCAGACTCTCCGTCCAATAATGGGGGCGTGTCCCCACCTCATCAAGTGGGCGGAGTCGGAGATGCGAGGGGACGTCCAACCAATTCTGGACTCCCTCCTCTCCCGCCCTCCGCTCTTGGACCGAACTCTGACCCCCGAAGGTGAGCCAAATTGAGGCAAATTCAAGTTTTGCACATGTTGCTGCTGCCCATATTCACTGGACGGTGTATTGTGCTTGTGCTGGGGAGGTTCGAATGGTCGGATAAATCAGGTCGTAGAGGGGGTGTGATGGGACGTCAGAACGTGTGAACATGTGTGTTGTCTTGCCTGTAGTTGTGTGTGTGAGACTGTGGGGGGCATTTGATTGTGCTAGAGAGTGGCTATGGTGTACTGGACCAGTTCTGCGTACAAACTTTAAAAGAGATTTTTTCACTGGCCCAGAGTGTCTGCAGCCACCACCAACGGAGGGGTGGGTGTGGTTCTGAGACCACAGCCGCGGGACAGGACTCAGAGCTGGGTGAGGAAGTCGAGGAACCTAGACAAGACCGGTGAGATTTCACAATTTCATTCCAACACGAGCAAAACTGACTGCCTTCCCTCATAGAAACGGTCGACAATACTTCAGTGTAGAACTAATGTGTATTGCTCATGGATACACCTGACATTGTTCTACAGTGGCTGCTCCATCGGTATACGACTGCACTCTCTATCTCTCTCCAGCTAACCTGGACTCTCTGACAAGAGCCTCAATAATGATGACCCCGCCCTCCGTCCGTCGCAGCGGCTTCCACCAGGCTCAGGGCCCTTGTGGGAACGGCATGTACGCCCACCCCGCCCCCAGCTCCAGCGGAGAAGATGTAAGACATGTACTATGTATGTATAATGTGCACTAAGGCATTTGGAGTATGTCCAAGTTGCATATGTGCAGTAACAATGGTGGGCATGCTTCTCTATTTCAAGAACAATAGACTCGCTACTCCCCTGATAAGATTGTGTAATGACTACTGCCTTAACCCGCTACAATAGACCCATTATGAGCCTGGACAGCTATGTAATTGGAGGATGATTGGGGGAGCATTGCTCATTAGTCTTTTGATCCACCCTGCCTATTGCTCCTTAAAATTTGGTGCCCTTTCTCCTTAAACTATATGTCTGATTTTACTAGAGAGTTGATTAGTGTAACTCTTTCTGTTTGTGATTCAAAACCTAGCACTCCTACCCTCTCTCCCTCCTTCCTCTCCCCCTCTCTCTCCCTCCTGCCTCTCCCCCTCTCTCTCCCTCCTGCCTCTCCCCCTCTCTCTCCCTCCTGCCTCTCCCCCTCTCTCTCCCTGCCCTGCTGCAGTTGAGTCAGTACCAAGAGGGAGGGGACCAGGACGGCTCTCTCTCTGCCCCCAGTGAGGAGTACGAGGAACTCGATCCTCTGGAGAAGGAGTGGATGTTGGCCTGTGCCTCTGGAGATCTGGATACTCTCCTCAATATAATCATAAGAGACGACACTCTCATCAATCGCAAGGATTTCCTACACGGAGTGAGTTATAGCTGTTCTGGTGTCCTGATCTACATGAGGGGTCCTGAATTGTATGGTGTCCTGATTGATGTTCTGATTAGTAGGGTGTCCTCATGTCCTAATTGATGAGGTGTCCTGGTGTATGTGGTGTCCTAGTTGATGAGGTGTCCTGATGTATGTGGTGTCCTAATTGATGAGGTGTCCTAATGTATGTGGTGTCCTAATTGATGAGGTTTCCTGATTGACAAGATGTATACGATTAGTAAGGCTTTCCTGATCCACTGATGAGGTGCCAACAAGTGATTGATTGATTCGTAAGATGACCTGATCCTTGCTGTGGTGTCGGTCTTTAGCATTCATGATCTGACTGTGTGTTCCATCAGACCTTTCTCTTCTCTTTCCCTCCACATGTCCCCCTCCACTCATCTACTCCTCTCTTCTCTCGGGACAGTATGTAAGTTGTCCAATTCACTGAAGATCCTTATACTAATACTGCTCTCTCTCTCTCTCTCTCTCTCTCTCTCTCTCTCTACCCCCAGACGGCTCTTCACTGGGCAGCCAAGCTGGGCAGATGTGACATAATGTCGGCTCTCATCATAAACGGAGCTTTCCCCGACATCAAATCTGTGAGTTGGCTCCTGCAATCTTACCAATCATGTGTACTTTGTGTACTCAGCATGTAGTATTGTGGTTTTGCTGTAATGTTCTCGTATTTCCCATGTCACATGCTTGTAATTGTGTACATAATTAATCTGATTGACCTCTGCCCTTTTTCCATACTTGCCGGCATTCCTTGTGGGTTCTCAACTTTTCTCCTGCAACTCAGAATGTACGTTTCTCTGTCTCTTGCTCTGAATCGGTGAATTATTCCATTAACCCTTTCCCCACAGGGAGGGTTCACTGCCCTACATCTGGCGTGTCAGGGAGGCTATGACAATGCCATTGCCATGTTGGTTAGGGACCAAGGTTAGTATTTAGTACTAGACTAGCCACAATACCATTTTACCATAACATGAATACTGTATATATACCACGGTATATCGTCATTGTGTTATGGTATAGAGTACTATGACCTTTTGCACACTTGTACAATATAATTTACTCATTGTGTGATGTATATTAATTGCTGATTGTGTTTCAGGGGCTAATGTTAATATCAGAGACAATAGTGGTCTTAAGCCAGTGGACATGCTGAACTATTCTTGCCCGGAGTCAATCAGAGGTAGGGGACCCCTGCTGTTTCGTTTTGTTGTTGTTGCCAGCTGGCAGTGGGTGGTGGGCCATGTGTGACGCAGCTGTGAATGTCATTTCCCCTTCCTTCTCTTCCAGCCCTGCTGACAGACAGACAGACTGGCATTAGAACAGGTATATATATACCATTTCTCTCCCTTCCTTCCTTTTAGCTCCATCTTCTCTCTCTCACACACACATTACTGAACCACTCTCTCTCTCTCTCTCTACTCCTGCTGCAGTGCACCATTCCTCAGAGTACCTCCCCTCATTCAGCCAACCTCGTAATAGACTCGGGAGTCTGACCAACATGTGGACCTCCATGCCAAACTCCCTGGAGGCCTCTGACGATAAGGTACACACCTCATCTTACTCTCCTCCATCCCCACGCACACTCTCTCTCTCTCTCTCTCTCTCTCCTGATCCGCTGCCTTGCCTCTCTCATCCATCCGTCAATCCTCTCTTGCAGAAGAAAAGGGTATCACCGAAGATGAGCAAAAGGACCTTTAGCTTCAGGAACAAACACAAACTGACTTCACCTTCCCATGACAAAAAGAATAGGTACATCAGCCATTCTTCTCAAACCAGTTCCAATTATACTAAAACTTTGGTTCTATTCTCAGACCTCGAAGTCACATGCCAGAGAGCTATGATGCCTGATTATGTCATCACACAGAGACAGTTGTGCCTCCTTGTGTGTATCTGTGTGCATGTGTTGTGTTGTGTTGTGTGTGTGACAATAATAATAGCTCAATGACAAAAACTCCCAACTATGTCGATTGTTCATCTAGTGAAATATTATTATCACAATGTGTGTGTGCATGTTATCTATGAAATTGGGGTTGAAGATTGGAAAGTTGTGAAAACAGAGTTATTGTCCACGTGGAGTTGGTGTGTTAGTGCCGAGGACGAGAACCAGGTGTTTCCATGGCTACCAGGAATGTGGGTCAGGGGTTTGGGTGGGGAGAAGACCGAACCTTCTCTTCAGAGTTACTCTCTGTCGTGAGAACTTGTCATCGGGAGAGAACCGAGCTGGGGACCAAGGAGACAGAGATGTCATGTAACAGATATCAGTCTTGGAGATCAGATGCACGCATGCAGGGAGGAGAGATTAGACACTCTAGATAAGACATTCTACCCAGACAACATTGTGCAACACTTCCTAGCTAAGTGGATCCAGTGGCTGACCTGGGTGAGCTGACGACGTTGGCTTCCCTGAAGGGTCTATTTTCTTTAGCGTGTATACCCTCTTCCCTTCGCTGTCTGTGTAGTACATGAGGTGCATGGTCCTCGCCGCTACACGCTGAACTTATGAGATGAGCGAAGAAGCCACTTGAACTTTGACCCTTGACACGTGCTCTACAAAGGGTTAAAACGTTGTTCTATTTGACGCCCATAAGGTAAAAGGCAAGATGTCCAAAGGAAAAAGCGACGTAAAAGATTGGAACTTTGACTTCACGGAAATCCACCAGAAGAAGTAAGTAGCTAGCATTTTCAGCTTCACTCTGCTGTTTATCCCGCCACGACGTCATCAAGGTCACGTGGTGTAAAGTCGGCGGAGGAGAGCAATCCCCCAGGCTACTATGCCACGGCTCCAAAACCAGATGTAAGCCACTAGCACTGCAGTAGACGTTATAAATTCATCCATATTTCTACGGCACCGTGCAGGACTCGGCAGATACAGGGCAGAACCTTGTGGCAAAGGTGTGTTGCAATCTTGTCCAATCTCTTTACTCTCTCGTCTCTCTCCCGAGTAGTTGGGGTGGTCGATAGCTCTGGGGCCCTGGAAACAGCTGCCACTCAATGCCTTTGTGATGTGGATGGCGGGCAACACCATCTCCCTGTTCCCTATCATGATGGTGGCGATGATGCTCATCAGGCCGTTCCAGTCCATCTTCAGCTACAAAGACGGTCTGTTGCCCTCTCTTGCCTCCATTAAGAGCTTCCTTTCATCCCTACTCCTTTACTGAAGCAAAATACGTATATAGATGCCACAGAGCTCCACATCTTTTTTCTCTTGGCATCACATGGTGTTTTCTACATGTACATGCCTAGAGTGGTGTCGTCGCTTTGCACTGCCCTCGCGTTCTGATTCATGCTATGGTCTTTTTCGGCCCCCTTTCCCTCCTCTTTCTCTGCTCTTTAATGAAGCTTTTGTCTCGCAGTGTTCCAGAAGCTAAGAGGCGACCAAGCTCTGTTCCAGAAAGCTGTCTACCTGCTGGGAAACGTGATGGCGGTGGGTCTGGGTCTGTACAAGGTCAACAGCATGGGCCTTCTCCCCACTGCCCAGTCTGACTGGCTGGAGTTCATGGAGGACAGACAGGTGGGAACAGCTCCTTCTCTAACTTTACACTCTTTTTTTGCTCTTACTATTGACAGTATCTTGAGGTTTCTTATGGAGGGTTGTCCATGTCCTGAAGAGCACACCTATCAGCTATCACCTATACCTCTACTATATCTGTAATCACATTATTCAGGTCTCTCTTTAAAAGTGTTCCAAATCATCATCCTTATTCAGAGCAAATAACAATTGTGTATGGTGGAGGGGTGAGTGGGTCACAAGCCAATGGGACTGCGTAGGAACGGTCTAGGTTCTGTTTGACTGGGTTGGAGGGTGGGTAGAGAGAACTATGTCAATTGCCTGCAGAGATATAGGTCGACCTCTTGTTGCACTATAGTTTTCTACGGGCAAGACATGCACACACACGCAGACCTGGTTGAGCTGTCTTTGGGTGTCTAGCTGCAGTTCCACGTGTCCGAGACACGCCTTCAGCACACTAGTTACCTCCCCTGCAAGGAGAGAGAGAGAGAGTGCAGTTAGTCCGGTTGTGGTAAAATTATAGGGACTTGCTTATCTCCTTGTTGGCTGCCTGGACTTCCCTAGCGACGCTACCGCTCTCTCCTGACGCTCTTCCGCCGCCTGCAGCAGGTCCTGCAACTGCTGCCATTTTTTCATTCATTCTGTGCGCCGGCCGCCAGACACGCGGGTGATAACGCGGGCTGGAGGAAGAAGGTAGTAGTGTGTGTGGAGTGGTTTAGCAGACGATAGCCATGCCGAGACTGGATTCCGACGTGAAGCTAGACTTCAAGGATGTGTTGGTCCGCCCGAAACGGAGCACGCTCAAGAGCCGAGCAGAGGTGAGGGGGGAAAACAGCTGAGGCTAGAGGGGGTCTAGCTGGGACCTTCCTGCAGGTGGACCTCCACAGAGAGTTCATATTCAGGAACTCCAAGAAGACGTTCAATGGTGTTCCTGTCATTGCCTCCAACATGGACACTGTTGGTACATTTGAAATGGCCGCCGCTCTCTCAGAGGTATATATACCTTGTGTCTATCTCTGTTACTACTCAATGATGGTTTGACCTCTGGTTTCAGTACCACATGTTTACTACAGTACACAAACACTACTCTGGCGAGGAGTGGAAAGAGTTTGCTGCTCGCAATCCAGCTGCTGTGAAAGTGAGGCAACCTGAATATCCCACCTTTTTCACATTCTTCCTTCGTTTAACCCTCCCCCCCCCCTCCCCCCCTGTCTTTTTGTAACAGCATGCATAATCCAGCTGCTTTGAGAATGAGATAATACAAATGCCACCATTTTCATGCATGTATAATACTTTCCATCTTCCCTCCTTCCTCCCTCCCTCTCTGTCTGTCTGTCTGTCTTGTCGACCAGCATGTTGCAGTCAGCTCAGGCTCAGGCTCAGAAGACATGAAAAAACTGAAACTCATTGCCGAGGCCGTCCCTGAAATCAGCTACATCTGCCTTGACGTTGCCAACGGTTACTCAGAGCACTTTGTGGACTGTGTGCGGAAGGCGAGGAGAGACTTTCCAGAATACACCATCGTGGTGAGGGACAAGAGATGAGTTGTTGAAACGTGTGAAACACTTCTGAGGACCTATATATACATAATGTTCTACATGGCAGTTTTTAAATCCGGCCCCTCCTCTCCAGGCGGGGAACGTGGTGACTGGAGAAATGGTGGAGGAACTCTTACTGTCAGGAGCTGACATCATCAAAGTCGGGATTGGACCTGGTCTGTCTGTATACTCAATGTGTCCTCACAGTTTAGTATCCACGACGATATTAATAATATTGTCAGTGAATGCATGATTGTCTCGCTATGTAAATGGTCCCTCCAGAAAGTTCCCCTCAAATTAAAGTTTGTGTGCAAATTTTGTGTCAGTGTCTCGATGAGAGAGTTTCTCTATCATCATCTTTCCCTCTCCCTCGTCTCTCTCTCTCCCTCTCTCCCTCGTCTCTCTCTCTCCCGCCACTCAGGGTCAGTCTGTACCACGCGGAAGAAGACGGGAGTGGGTTACCCTCAACTCAGTGCCGTCATGGAATGTGCTGATGCAGCACACGGTCTTCGAGGCCACATCATTTCCGTCAGTAAACCTTTTCAGTATTATATTATCTCTATTTTACTCTTGCTAGTGCTTTAGCTGCGGTTTGGGGTACTTTTATAGTGTAGCAACAGCTCCATATCTCCCTTTTTTGCCCATTTTTCTAACAGGATGGAGGTTGTACATGTCCTGGAGATGTTGCCAAGGCATTTGGTATGTACTTATATATGCTAATGTCACCCTATTGCTCTGTCTTTATTCCTATGCCTAGCAAAAGCCGCGAAACTTGTGTCTGATTTGAAATTTGGCTCTCTATGCGATGACTAGGTGCAGGAGCAGACTTTGTGATGCTGGGAGGGATGTTGGCTGGTCATGATCAGAGTGGCGGGGAGATCATCGAGAAGGAAGGGAAGAAATACAAACTGTTCTATGGCATGAGCTCGACGACGGCCATGAACAAATACACCGGCGGAGTCAAGGAGTACCGGTTCGTTCAGGTGTATGGTACATATGCAAATCTCTCTCCAGGCAAAATTTTAACGTGTGATGCGTTAAAATTGTGCGAAGTAGAGAGGGAGAGCCTGGAGATGCAGCTAGGACTAATGCACCCAATACTAACAGCTAAAGTGTATGTACTAAAAAGTTCCTGAAGAAAAGAAAGAACTAACTTCTGTCTGGAACGTGAATTAAGATTTCTCTGTCTCTCCGCAGGGCGTCGGAGGGTAAGACAGTCCAGGTGGAGTACAGAGGAGACGTGAAGGCCACAGCACAGGACATCCTGGGAGGAGTGAGGTCAACCTGTACCTACGTCGGGGCCCAGAAACTGAAGGAACTGAGTCGAAGAACCACTTTCATCAGAGTCACTCAGCAGCTCAACAACGTGTTCCAGTGACCACAGGAGGCCCTCTGAGCGCTGTCAGCATTATCATTAGACCACTGCATACTCTATGACTATATGGGTGTTATATTATTGAAATCCAGAATGAAACTTTAATCAAGTACACATTGCATATGAGAGTGCACGCATAATCAGTAGCCTGGCATAATGGCATAGGCTACTGATTATGCGTGCACGCAGGGTTACTGATGTTTTTAAAAACAGATATGAAAATTGCTAAAAAGTAAAAAAACTAGTACAAAACGACTTTTTGTGAACTTGTTCAAACTGGTGTTACTTTCCCTACGAAAGGTCTTGAGCTACTCGTCTCCTCTCCCTCCTCTCCCTCCTCACCTCCTCCCTCCTCTTGCACTTCCTCACTTCCTCCCTCTGCCTGTACATTCTCCCCTCCACTTTCATTTGTCCCTCCCTCTCTCAGCTCCCGACGCGCTCTTGTCAGCAATTCCTCCAGATTTCCACCACCATCACGTCCACTCTTCTTAATGCCCACCATCTTCTGAAGCAGCTTTGCTCCAGGCTCCTCCTCCCCCCTCTCTCCTCGCCCCTCCCTCTTCTTCCTCAGAGCCAGTTTCATGGCCGCCATTTCCTGCAACTCGTCTCCCTCCGCCGCAATCTTCTCTCTCTCCACCTCGTCTCTCAGGTCAACCATCTCCCGCAGGAGTGACCCTTCGACCTCCGTGCTGCCAAACTTGTTGCCCAGCTCCTCTGTCATGTGTTCCCTCACAGCTGCCATACTTCTCTCCCACAACAGCTTCTGGGACCTCACGTCCCTACAACACACACACGGCAAATGCAATGCATTGTCGGCGAGCAAATGCGAGTGTAAAATTTCAGCAGATGTATGTATGTATACGGAAAAAAGCAGAAACTACCATTCCTAAACTACACAATTTTCATGTGAAACACACACACATGATGAATGTAATCGCACGATGAAATGAGCAAATGAGATCTTAGACTTTCAGCAGATGTACGTACAAATTAATGAAGCAGTACGGTATGTAAAGCGACCATCAAAGTAGAATATTGCATAGCTTGGTTGGCTTGCCGTGCTTGCAAAACACAAAAAGCAAAAGTAAAAGCAGAAACTACCATTCTTAAACTACACAATTTTCATGTGAAATTGCAGTACCTGGCAGTATTTGAGACTCTCATGAGCTGATCTCCTTTATCCTGGTGAAAGTACTGCATGTCCAGCCACTGACTGGGTTCAGCTGTAATACATTTTATTATTCTCTCTGCTCCCTCATCCAGCCCCTGGTAACACACTGCAGTGATAAACACATCATGTGAGACTCATGTGACTGTCACATGTGGGCTCACGTTTGAGGATGATCTTTGATATCGCCTTCAGAACTGGTCTGTTACTGCAGGCATCGTTAATAAAATTCGACTTGATCTGGAAAAATAGAGTGAATTAAAGGACACCTCTCATAATTGACACCTTAGTTCTGCACTATACTAATAAAGGACATTTTCGGTGTCCCCAAGTTGCCCCTTATTCAGAGGTATCAATCCTAACCTTGCCAGGGTTAACGCAGAGGACTGAGATTTTGTCATCAGCAAATCGTCTCTGGAGGCAGTAGGCAAACATTACCTGCAGGGAAACCAGCTCAGTAATCTCCAGCAGCAAGTCAGTATACTACACTTCCAAGTGAGTATAATAGTTCACAAGTTAGTATACTAGCACAACAAACAGTATACTAGGTCAGTAAACTATAGCAGCTCAGTAATCTCCAGTATACTACTCACATTGTATAACATGGAGTTATAGTAGGCCATGAATCTGCTGTAGCACTGTTCTCCGTTCATGTTACTCGGGTCGAATTCCGCACTGGAATGGGCTGCGGACGTGAGCAGCACCACCCGAGCCCTGCCCTTTCCCTCCCGCCCCATCTTCAGCAGTGGGTGGAGTTCTAGTGTCAGTAGACACGGCCCCAGGTGGTTCACCTGACAATTAATCATTAACTATATTTTAGAATTTACATATATCAAATTGGAAGCTTCCAAATTACATTTGCAATCGCCATACCTGGAAATGTCTTTCAAAGCCATCAACAGTTTTCTCTGAAGAAGGTATATATAAAGTAGGTACACACAAGACTGGGACTGGGTCCAGTAGATCCTCTGTTTGACTCACCAAATCTGACAAAGACGACGCCATCGCAGTGCACGAGGTAGTTGAGGTGGGTGAACTTCTCCTTGAAGGCCTTGACAAACTCCTTTACTGACGCCAACGACGACAGATCCAGTTTCATACTCTCCACAGTCAGTTCAGCTCCAGACCCCTCCCCCTGTCCTGATTTTAAGCTAATCACCTCGTTCTTGAAGGTTACCATGTCCTAGACATGCGCATGCGCAGTAACGGCAGTACAGAGCACTACTGCAAAAGTCTAGTCAAACCTGTTCGCTCAATTCCGTGCTCCCAGCCAGGACTATGTGGACGCCTTCTCGAGTTAGCTTTTTTGCCAGCTGCTTGGCTGTCTCGTAGCCGATCCCGCCTTTTACAGTGGCTCCAGTCACGAGAGCAACCACTGAACGTGCAGAGGTCTGCTCCGTCTCCCCTTCGGACTCTCCGCCGGTCGCAGCTGTTTCTGCGACTTCCACCTGAACAGGACCACGCTCAGCAATGGCTGCCATCTCTCTGTAGTGTAGTGATGTCCAATGTCGGCCGTTCACAACTATATAACAGCCACTTGCACTTCTGAGCGAATTGTTTGTGAGAGCAGGGGCAAAAAATAGTACGCGCCCCTTTTATTTTTGACTCGCTCGTGTATTTTTTGCGCTTCGATTGCGGTATGATGATAAGATGTTTACCTATAGAAACTCCACAAAATAAGAATAAATCTGCAATGCTGGTATAGTTGATCAATAATTAATTAGTTCACAGCAATCACTATTAATTATAGACAAGCTAAAAATGAGCGAAATATATTATATATAATTATCAGACAAGAGTTTCCGACTTTGATTCTGCCACGCCTTCTTCTGACCCTAACCCATCTGCAACACGAGAGAGAAAATAATATGTAAGAAGTTGAACACTGCTGAGGTCATTGGCGGAAGTTACTGAGGCGATAAGCTATTCTTTCGCATCCACAAATTGTTCACAAAGTTTTTTCGCCAGATTTCGCAACAAAACTGATTAGCAAGAAAATGATTTTTCAATGACCTTCTGACCTTCTAGTGGTGCTTTCTTCTCTCCCTCTCCTTCCTCTCCCCCTCCCTCCTTCACTTCGCCTCCTTCCGACTTCTCTCCCTTCCCCTCTGCAGGGTCAGAGGTCACAGTGGGTGTGGCCTGTGACGATCCCTCCTCTTCCTTTGTCTCTTCCTTCTCCTACAGTACACATCATATCATGTAACTGCGTGTAATCACTGGCATGGGTTGAAAAACACGTCAACAAGATAGAGTTACATGTAGGGAATTGCTCAGTACCTTTACATCGACTCCAGACTTGCGTGGCTTTGGTTTTGGGCGTGGTCGAGGTGCAATGGGGGGAGTCTTGTGGGTCGTTAAGGGGGAGGAGTGATGGGTGGAGTCTGAAGATATCTTCTCTGACAGAGCTGGACTGCTCTCCTCTGACGATGGCTGTAGAAAATGAGGCATTTTGTCAGTGTTGCAAGAGGTCAGAGAGTGATTTCCAAACACTGAGCTGTCAAATATTGCTTTAACTTTAGGAGGAGGGAAATTAGGCCTAAGAGTGAAGATGTCACAGCTGACTGACCTTTGACCTCTGTTGTGGCGAGGGACGAGATTTGAGTACACCAGTCAGCTGTGAGGGGGCGAGGCCTGGGAATGGCATGGCAGCCACGCCCCCCACCGGTCTCCATCGCTTCTCCCCCTCCTCCCCGTTCTCATCCTTCCCCATCTCCATACCAAAGTCCACCGACTTGCTCTTCACGGGCTTCTTCCGCACAGGGGGCGGGGCCTTCTTCTGGAGTTCAGGGGTCATGCTGACTCGGTCCTCTGCCTCTCGTTCCTCCTCGCTCCCCTTCGTTGGCGATGTCGTTTGTCTCCGTGGTGATTTGTGAGGTTCGAGAGTGGCCTCGGGATCGCTGGTCACTCCATCTTCTTCGTCTCCTTCTTCCTTTGCCTTTGGTCGACTGAACAGTTTAGACAAGCCACTCCTACAAGAGAAGGCAGTGTGTGTGTGTGTGTGTGTGTGTGAAGACAAGATGGGGGAATGAGGAGAAGAGGAGGTAGGCCTTGGCAGATTATATGCTGCCTATTTTATCAACACTTTCCATATGTATGTACGTACGTGTGCACAAAATGTGGATTCCGTGGTTGTAAAAGTCAACAGTTGTTTTTAAGCAGAAACATCTCGCTTTAGGCTATTTTGCCCCGACATGCAACCTACACATCTACTTACAGTAGATTAGTCTACAACGTGGGCTCAAAGTACACAGCACTATGATAAGCCACTGTTTCTGACCTCATGTATAGAGACAAAATGAGGACGACTCACTTTTTTCTGTTTTCTCTGACGGTCTTTGATTTCCTCTTGTCGATGCTCCTACTGGGAGAGGCCTCCAGAGGGCTCCGCCCACCGTCGACGCCCAGCAGATCCTCAGTACTCTTCTTCTTATCCGCCTTCTTCTGCTTCTCCCTCTCCTCCCTTCTCCCTCTTTTCCCTCTCCCTTTCCTCCCTCTCCCTCTCCTTCCTCTGTCGTTCCTTCTCCTCCCTCTCCCTCTTCTCCCTCTCCCTCTCCTCCTTCTCCTTCTCCTTCCTCAACCTCTCCCTCTCCTCTCTCTCCTTCTTTTCCCTCTCCCTCTCTTCCCTCTCCCTCTCCTTCCTCTCCTTCTCCTCTTTCTTCGTCTCTTTTCGGGATTTCTTACGATCTTTGGCCACGCCCTCCTCAGACGGCGAGGGAGAAGGTTCCTTGTTAGGGGCAGTCGGTATTTCAAGAGATGACGAACTTTCATCTGCAGCCGTGTCGTTTGTCGACGTTGAATCGTCGATCGCTCTCCCTGGAGTGCTCACAAGAGGTGGGGAGAGTGTGTCGTGGGGTGGGGAGGGGGGAGGGGTCAGTGGCGGAGACCGTCCTGCGGTCTTGAAGGTGACTTTCTCCGAGGCTGATTCAGGTGAAGATGGCTCTTCCTCCACCACCTCTCCCTCCGTCTCCTCTCTTTCCTCTGAATCGTCGTCTTCTCCCACTGGCTCCTCTTTGACCTCTGACTCCATCTCCTCTGACTCCACGTTGTCTTCCTTCTTTGCCCCCTCCTCGTCTGTTTCCTCCACAACCTCCTCTTCTTCTTCTTCTTTCTCTTTCTCCTCGTTCACATCCACCTCTTTCTCTCCCTCGGTCTTCTCCTCACTAGAGGAGGCAGGAGGAGGAGGAGGGGATATTGAGAGGGATGGGGGCTCTTTGCCAGCAGCTGCGTCAGTCTCCGCGTTGCTCTCGGCGACCTTGGTCTTGGTCTCGGCAGGGAGAGGGAGAGGGGTCTTGGGGACGGTTCCTCTGGTCCCCTTCTTCTCGTCCTCCTTGGCCGCACGGAGCGAGTTCTGTTCAGCATCTTTCACTGCCTTCACAAAGTCACCTGACAGTCACATGACACCCATTACATCATCAACACTACCCACTCACAACATGCAGTTACCCAAAGAAACACCAAAGCTATGTACATAAGCCCCTACCGTCAACACATAGTAATGACATTAATTAGCAAAGCCACACCCACCAACATCGACTTCGTCCTTGGCCTGAGCGAGATGAGCAGGTTTGTGAGGTCGTCTGTTGGCCCCGCCCCCTTTCTGGAGTCGGGCGGGCTTTGGGCGTGACTTCACGATGTGCTGCAGCTGCGGGGCTTCAGTCTCCAGCGGGCCTGACGGCAGATCAACTGAAAGATGAGAGGGAGAGAAGAGGTTAACAATGCATACTACAAACACTGTGTGTAGCTCACTGGAGTCAGAGAAAGTAGAGATCGGTCTCCTTCTCTTGACCTTTGGCTGTGACTCCTCCCCCTCCACCCGGAACGTGAAGGCCCGCGAGACCTTCTGGTCAGGAGTGGCTCCAGAACTGGTCTTCTTCTGCAGAGCCTTTTGCAGCTTTATCTGCACGCCAGGAGGAGGAGGAGAAAACGATATTACAGAGGGCGGAGATGAAACGAAAGTCTAGCGCCGTATTGTGAACCAGGCTTCATTAGAAAGAGGAAGTAGTGCATGTTTTTGCTGATACTAAAGTTTCTCTGCCGGTTGTGATGTAGTGTGTAAGTTATAGACAAGTGAAGAGAAGAGGAGACATGGACTCACCAGTTTACTGTTGATTTTCTCCAGCTTGGCGAGTGTCTTATCGACCAGGTATTCAGATATCGTGGCCGCGAGGTCAAGGTTCGACGCGCTGATTGGGTTGATAATCTCCGAGACGACTTTGTGAACGACTGTCTTCTTAGCGACGTCAAATTCACTTCCCATATCAGAGACTATCAGTGTGTTTAGAAGCTGACGGTCCTTTTAAGGGGAGGGGAATGGGAGCGAAGAAAGATGTGGATATTTTCATCGAGAGTGCAACTGAGACATAGTGACTGGCAGTCCAGTAAAACATGCACTTAGCTACAACTCAAGGATGAAAGTATCTCGCAATTTCAACTTGTGTATGGTTAATGAGTTTATTTTTGAGTGTCTGAAAATGAACAGCAACCATTCACAAACACAACACAGCTATTGGTAAACATCTTCAAAATACCCCACGTCCAATTACTGGGACACTAGTACAAACCATATGCAGTACTGCAGACTATAGGAAGTATATGGAGTTGTACTGTATGATGCAGGTGGTAATGGAATGTCAGGAACGAAGGAAATGAACAGCTAATGAACAGCTAATGCACACAGACATGTTGACAGACCTTGTCGGTGAGAAGGCTGGGGCAGGCCTTGACACTCTGCGATACCATACGTTCCGAATTACCCTGGACAGGGAGGGAGCAGGGGGGAGAGGAGAGAGAGAGAGGAGAGGAAGAGAGAGAATTTCATACCATATAAGTCCACACGCAACTCCTGTTTACAGTTGCAGGCTATGGTTGTGATTGTAGCTCCAGGCATGTGTATATACATTCATTACACTTTAGCCTTGAGCAAACCCGCCATCCATACACACACGCAACGCCATAACTATCTCGTGTACAATAAGTCTAGTCTGTACACTTACAGCCTTCCTTTCCCCCCTTCTTTATATACCAGTATTTCACATAGGAATATAACATACAGAACCCTTCTCCCCCATTCTCTCTCTTAACTGCCCGTAATCTATTCTCACACTGAAGACACGCCCCCACCTCCCCCCTCACACACTCACACACTCACTATCAGTAATGTACAGACCTGTACGTGCTCGTGGTGAAGAGCTCCCATCAACTCACCAACCAGTTCTGCAACCTGGGCCCTCACACTCTCCAGTTGCTCCTGCTCCACATTAGGAGCATACAATCCATCTGTCAACTGTAGGGACCACAGACACTGACTGACTGTCTGTTGCAGGGTTTTATATAGTAACTCTCCACCCACTCTTAGAATAACACTCAGGATATTCTTGGATATCCTTGGTTACTTTCAGTATACTGTTTAGTATACTCTGCAGTTTCAATATGCACTGAAATAAACTTTGCAGGCAACTTACCTGGATTCAACCGCTGGATATTATATCAGGATACTATCAGTATATTTCAGTATACTACCATGTTGCCACACAAACGAGGATAACAATGGACGCAGGTCCAGTGGTACTAATACCTTGTACCCTCTATTGATCCCCTTTCAGTTGCCGCGGGCAACAACCGATCACAGAACACAACGCGAAAACATGTTAACACCGGAAAATATGTAATTTCTCTCTGTGCATGGTTGTTAGGCAACCACACCTCATCCCTCACCTGAACAACTTTGTTGGCTTCTTCACGGATGAGGGTTGCCTCGGCAACAAGCTCCTCCCCCTCGGTCTCCTCCGTCCCTGTTCCGGTGAGCCCACGCTCACTCCACTTTAGAAGGTCTTCCAGCTGTACCAGCTCCCTGCTCACCACTCCCTGCGAGGTCACATGCAGGTCATGTGATCACTGATTTAACCCTTTCCCCACACTTCTTACCCTAAAGCCCTTATACATCTATTTCCCTTTGTAAGCCCAGCAGTAACCCCTTACACTCTGCTGTGTGGTGGTGAGGTCTATAACTTTAACCCCTTACACTCTGCTGCGTGGCGGTGAGGTCTATAACTTTAACCCCTTACACTCTGCTGTGTGGCGGTGAGGAGTCTCTGTCTGTGTCGGGCGGCCAGTTCGATCTTGAGTCTCTCGTCGGAGTGGTTACGACAGAGGTAGACCTGGATTCTCTGGACTTCGGTCTCCAGTTCGCGGGGCTCCCTGGCAGCTGCCTTCCCAATGTCGTAGAGAGGGATGGGCATCACTCTCAGGGTGTAGTTACTGTAGACAGAGAGAGTGGGGAGCGGGGGATATAGATGTGCATGAGTCAAAAATGATACCTCAAACTTCATTCATGGCAGTAAAGATCGTAAAATCATCTCCTCAAAATTTAACACTAATCTGTGGAGAGAGGAACTCACTGTTCCATGGAGGAGGCCACATCCCTGAAGCCATGGAGGGAGGTGTCGTTGTGATCCCAGATCACTTCCCGAAGACAGCAGTTGGAGAGGAGAGCTTTGGCCAGTCTCCGTGCCCCGTGGTTTCCCATCCCGTTACCGCTGCATGTGAGAGAGAGAGGGTTTCAATTTTAGTTGTGAATGAGAGGGAGGGGAAGACAAAGGCTGTGATGAAGAAGGAAAAAGACAACGAAAAGAAAGGCGAAGAAAAAAAACGGGAAAAAAGAAGAAACGAAAAGGAGAAGAGGAAGAAGAAAAACTAAAAACGAAGAGAACGTAAAAAAGAAGAGGAAAAAGGAAGTGAAAAGTAAACGAAGATGAACGAAAAGAAGAGCGGAGGAGGGGAGGGGCTGACCTGATGTTGAGTGAGTGAAGGGATCTATTCTCGGCCAGAGCCTCCAGGACGACGGCAGAGCCATCTCTGAGGTGGGAGTCGGCCAGACAGAGGGAACGGAGGTGGCAGTTGTCTGACGTCAGGAACTCCGATATCCCGTTCAGAGCTGCTGTTCTTGAGCTGTAGAGAGCCAGGAGGAGGAAGAATGGCAGATGAGGTCGCAATTGAGAGTGATTGTACTGCTCTAGCTACAGTCAAGACGTTATGGTCGGCCTGTCTTTCCCTCCACATGCTCACTAAAAGTAGGCTACTCAGCATGCAGTACTTCACGCACAAAATCTTCTTGACCAAAAATCTTTAGTCAACAACTGAAAATGTTGCACCTTCAAAATTTGGCGCCATTACATTCTTCACCACACTGTACAACCAAGAGTCTAAAACTCACTTTCCTTTCCCGTTGAAATTCCGGCCAATGGAGAGGTGGGTGATGCTCTTGTTCATCCTCACCGCGGCAACGTAGGCCACCAGACAGTTGTCAATTCCGCTCTCCGACACGTCCAGTCGCTCCACGCAACCTGCCTTCGATATCACCTTGGCAACGGCGCTGGGGTCGCGACCCGAACCGAGGTCGTTTCCGCTGAGATTGAGGACAATGTTTTGGACGTTTGGATTGACACACAGTCCCTCCAGCAAACCTCTGGAGATACGGTGGGCAATAAAAAGAGAAGTTTGGCAGGGGAGCAAGAGAAGAGGGAGGAGGTCAAGAAAGATAAAAAAGAGAGAAAAGCGTGAGGGGGGCAAAAAGAGAGAAGAGGCGGGGGTTGATAAAGATGTGGTGATCTCAGGCAGTCCACTTACACTGCCATTGCTCCCGTCAGCTTGCAGCCGGAGAAGTTGATGGTTGCTATGGAGATGGCGGAGCTGAAGAACTGTTGCAGCTGTGAGGCAGTCTTTGGTCCGTGCACACCTCCCCTCCTGCCAGGGAGACAACACACCTCATGCCTCAAGAGCTGGCAATTCACGTTTACATTCTCCCAAACCCCAGTTGGATATGGATCGCTGAATTATAATTATTTTCCCACCAAATTACAAACCTTTTAGGAAAGTACGATGGTAATATCACGAATAAATTGTTTTTAACACACAATTACAAGACTCTCTTTCAAATGTTGCGTTTGAGTAAATTTTTTGTTGCAACCATTTTTTTTATGGTACAGTAGAGTATGGTTTACACATTGCTTACTTGGAGCGTCCAGAATTAATTGAGAGATCCAAGACACGCAGGTGTTGGTTGCACCCCCTCATCAGTACCGGGGTCACCTGACATCACATGATACGTCATGTGACACTCACATGATCAACCGACAGAGGGACTCACGAATTCGAAGCTGAGCCCGCAGTTAGAGAGGTTGAGTGTGGCGATGGTCTGGGGTTCCTTTAAAAATCCCAGCGACCCCTGGGGGTCCGGCCCCAGGGGATTCGATGAGAGGTCAAGGTGCACTAACGAGTTTTTCATCAGTTTGTTGTTGAGCATGCAGTTTGCTAGTGTGGTAGCAGCTGGAGAAAGGAGGAAAGAGGGGAGAGGGGAAGGGGAACTTCTACCATCTTTTCTGCATGGACCCACCATATACAGTTGCTTACACCATGTATGTTAGCCTGTTGTAGCAGACATGTACGTAGGTGTAACTAGGTTGTCTGGATACATGTGGCTTGTGACTACAACATGTGTTTACATGTAGGTGTACATGAATCTAACAAGCCGTGATGTAATTATCTACACATCTACAAGTCTGCTACATGACTATTACAAGATGATCTTTTCCCTCTCTTTCCCTCCCTCCTTTGCTCTATACAACTTCTCTCTTTAGTTCTGCCTCTCTCTCTAACTGTATTCTCAGTGACCTCTGACCTCTGGGAGTAATCTTGCAGTTGGCCAGTCGCAGTTCCTGCAGTCCGTGTGCCAGCAGTTCCAGAGCAGCTCCCAACGACTCCACCGCTGATGGGTTGACAGTGAATCAGGGAGAGAAGAGGAGAGGAGGGAGGAGAAAAGATGATCAATGACACCACCGAACCCTGACGTGTGGTCATGTCCACGTCCACTAATACTAGTAGATGTTGACTTATAAAACATTGACAAAATTTGCCGGTAAGGTTATTGCGCAAAGGAGCATATTTCGGCTTATTTAGCTATCAAGCGTGCCTCGAAACCAAAATCCAAACATTTCTCCAAACTTATTTGGACTCTCACCTTTGTCGTCGAGAGGATTGTGTGAGAGGTCAAGGTGCATGAGAGATGTCCTCGGGTTGTTTTTCAGTGCTGTCGACAGTCTCACAACATTGTCACTGTGTGTGAGAGATGAGGGAGAAGTGGAGGTGGGGGGAGAAATCAGAGAGACATGCAGTGTGCGTGCAAACGTCACATGGAGTGTTGGTGATGATCTGAGGTGAGGATGAGGGAGGAAATGGGAGGCTTACGGTTTGAGGCTGCAGTTGCTGAGAACCATTGTCCTGAGGGCTCTCGAGCCATTCAGAACGTAACCAATCTCTTCCAGTAGATCCACGTCCTACGAGAGAAGGGAGTGGAGAGAGAGAGAGGAGTAGAGAGAGAGAGATAGAGAGGAGTAGAGAGAGAGAGAGAGAGAGATAGAGAGAGAGAGAGAGAGAGAGAAGGGGAGTGGAGAAAAAGAGAGAGAAGGGAATGGAGAGAAAGAGAGGAGTAAAGAGAGAGAGGAGAAAGAAAGAAAGGGGGGGGGGAGATGGAGAGCAGAGCGACAACGTGGAGCACAGTTCCTACTGTTCTGTTGTCCTTCTCGATGATTCCTTCGAAGAATTCGCTGTGCCTCAGAGCACTCACAATCGGTCGGATTTCCCTGCAGCCAGAGAGTGCGAGGGAGGAAGGCCATATTCTCCTTTGCACGCACACACAGCCATTAAATAAAGTCTCTGTACCATTTTCACTATCCAAAAGTGTTCTATATCATCATCACGGTATATTTTGCAGACTTTACTCTTGTTTAGTTTAGGCCCACATATACACAAATATATCTCGTTCCGGTATTTTGGCCATATTAAACAATATTTGTATTACACTGGGAGTTTTAGAGAAATTAGTTCGCACAAGTTTATTGCTGTGTACAATATGGTATATAGTCATAATGGGGAGTGTATATGGGAGTTGTATGTACATAATGTAAATTCCATACTTACTTGGGAGCCAAATGGTTGAAATCATGCAATTTGAGGTCCCGGAACCCGTGAGTGAGGTACACGTTCCTCAGATACTGCCGAGAGAGAGAGGGAGTGTGTGAGAGAGGTTTGGTGGGCTAATGAGCAGGGGCTTACCCACGTCACCCCCTCGTTGACGGGGACGCCGAAGAAGTCGCAGAGGAAGCCGTAGGAGGTGATGAAGCCGTGGAGGGAGGTGGGGTCGAGGCGCTCCATGGCACTCAGGAGGGAGTCTCGCAGTCTTGTCGTGTCCTCTCTCAGAGACACCGGAGTGAACAGTGTCTGCATCAACATTCTGGGGAGTGAGTGAGGGGAGGGAGTGAGGGGAGGGAGTGAAGGGAGGGAGTGAAGGGAGGGAGTGAAGGGAGGGAGTGAAGGGAGGGAGTGAGGGGAGGGAGTGAAGGGAGGGAGTGAAGGGAGGGAGTGAAGGGAGGGAGTGAAGGGAGGGAGAGAAGGGAGGGAGTGAGGGGAGGGAGTGAGGGGAGGGAGTGAGGGGAGGGAGAGAAGGGAGGGAGTGAGGGGAGGGAGTGAGGGGAGGGAGTGAGGGGAGGGAGAGAAGGGAGGGAGTGAAGTAAGTTTTGCTCACTCGAGAGGAGTGACAGGGAAAACGTTCTTTAGCTGTGCCGTGATCAGACCAAGAACTTCGACAGAGTCCTTCTTGTCCAGATGGAACTTTAGTGGCCGCGGCTCTCGACTGAGGTGGAATGTCAGCTAGTGGTAGAGATGATGACATGTCACACTGAATTGAATGATCTGGAGGAGGGTTATTTACCGTCTTTGTCGTGCACTCCACTTTCTGGATTTTCAGAAAGTTGAAACTTGTTTCCAGCTGTGGAAAGAGGAGAGAAGAGGGTGGGAGGGGAGAAGAGAGGGGGAAGAGAGGGAGAGGAGGGGGAAGGAGGGGGAAGGGGAAATGCGTAGAGCAACGGAAGGAAGCAGCGGTGAATTGAAAGATTCCAAACAGAAAATGAGACGATGTGTTTGTACACAGGGAGTGGAGTGAGCAGCGTACACAGCGTCCCAATAAGATTGTCGAGTGTGAGCGTAAATAGTTTAGAGTTTTTAAAAGTCGTCACAAAACATTACTCTTTGAAATTTCCCCAGAAAACTGGTGAATGACGGAAGAGACTTGGGGGAAAGACGGAGAGAGGGAGAAGGAGAAGGAAAGGGAGGACAGTCCTACCTTGGCAGTTGGTCTGTGGGAGAGAATAAAGCACTTGCTACTGGATATGACCTAGCAGAGAGAGGGGGGAGCGATGGGAGAAAATTAATACAGTCAGAGAGTGGGCTGAAGGGAAAGGCAGGAATGTAATCACTTATGGATTAATTGTATTCATTGAACCACACCTACATACATACATAGTATGCACACAATGTAGAGAGCAAGGAAGAAGGTGATGTGAAGAGAAGAGAGGAGGGAGACATACCAAGACCCTTGGCTCAGTGGTCTCTCCTTTCTTCACCACGATCTCGATGGACAGAGACTTCTTTAGAAATATCGTCTTCTCTCCCGTCAAAATCTGCTTCTCTGCGGCTAAAATAAATAGCGTTTTCAAAACACAGTCGGGGCAAATGTAAACGTGTATACCGGCTAATGCAGACCACTCAAAATGCCTCGAGACTATGCCAAGACTAACAACGCCTCATTAATGGTTCGGTGTAGTGGAGCCATTTGCCAAGAGAAAGAGAGAGAAGAGAGTGGTAGGGCCTGGCAGAAGGTGACTGTTCATTAGCTCCACCTATATAGCCCTACCCTGGCTCCGACAATGCACATAACTACACTGATTCATAAGTGATCTGGTCATTCAGGACGCAGATCTAGTTAGGACACTCTGATCAGGACGCACATCTGGAGTGTCCTGGGCGGAGCACCGTTGGCCTAATTACATATTACGTGCCATCACGGGTATGTTATGGACAAGATGAATGGGTCATTAGGTGTCAAGTAACAACACAACACTACTCGTCCAGACGTCCACTGGGGATGCATGCCACAAGTCTGCACCAAACCCATAACTACTGGATTGTGTTATCGACAACAAATGTCTGTTTGATTTCCCCCCAAACCCACAGTCGTCTTCATGTTTTCACCTAGTTGGGGTTGTCGAATTTACGCCTAGATTACCATCTCCTTATTTGTCAGTTGGCCTTGTTTGGTGGTCGTATATGTACCTTCCTGTTTCGCTGTTGGTTAGGTTACTATCTCGTTAATGTTCTTTGCCTCGTTCGCTCGTCGTATACGTACCACCTCAGTTTTTTCAGATTACCATCTAGTGGTTGGTTAGATGTACATACATACAGCTCAAGGTAGGCCAGTTCATCACACAGAGTGCGGTCTGGCTGGGACACACAGAGAGTAAACAGAATAACTCTTTCGTGTCCCGCTGTACAAACTTAGTAATCTTCACTCAGTGTGCCCAACTAGCCACAGTAGGGGGCCTTGCCATGGTTTCACTGCCTTCTAGAATAGGCCCATACCGCAGCTAAGGTAGCTCCATTACCAGCGACAGGGCTATCTCTATCTCCTGAAATGCACCACAAAGGTGGTGACATGGAAACGTGCAGCAGCTTGTAGGTAGGCTTGTCTGGGACATATTATGGAGGCTCTTAGAGAAGCCAGCGGCCGTTAGGCCTGCGAGCAGGTAAAACTGAAAGCTAACAATCAGCTGCGCATACAGCAGGATTAGCTACAGCAGTCTCTCACGACTGCAGGTTACCTCGACACGCACAGCTCTCGCAGCGTGCCACATCCCATCGCTCCAAGAGCAGAGACCGACAAAGCGCAGTCTTCCGCTCCTCCGCACACAGACACACATCACTCACTGGTTAGCGGCAGCTCTTTGCCGAAGACGTCTAGGTCTCCAGACGGCGTGGGAGTCAGGCCCTCTCGCGCCATCCTTCCTCTACCGCTGCCTGCACTGCGAAAAAGGTTCTCTCCCTCGCTCTTTTCTCTAAAACCGCACACGCCTTGCAGGTTAATGAATTATTCATGAAATGTTTTAACAACGCCCACCGCGTGTATAGTGCTCCAAATAGAGCGCACTCTATATCTAAAAGATGGCGGACGGAGACAGGAGCGGAGAGCCTGGGCTGGAGCTAGCGCGGCAGGCCAAGGAGGCGTTTGATATGCAGAGCTACGAGAGCTGTCTGTCGTCACTAAACAAACTAATGGAGGTCCGCAGGCACGACAAGAGAGTAGCACACAACCGCGCCGTGGCTCGCTACCTGCTTTCCAACCTGACCCTCACAGACGAATTCAGGAGACACCTCCACACATTGAAGACTCAGGTATATACAGATTTGTCTCCCATGCTAGACTCCTTTTCTGGCTAGTATTTGCTCACGTGATCATTAGTGGGCGTGTCTAGTTCGACAGAGAGGCAGAAGGAAGTGGGTTGGAACAGAGTGTGAGTGAGAAGGCGGTGCTGCTGTTCAACCAGGCCCTCATCCACCGCCGGGTAGGACACAGTCTGTGTGTGATGCAGTGCCCTCATAGATACCGTAGTATATATGGCGTGCTGGTACTCAGTTTCCTCCGTTTTCTATTCAGCTACATCAGAACACTCAGGCGATCGATATTCTAGACCAGTTGGTCCAAGTCTCGGATGCTCTCAGTGAGTTTTGCAACTGTCTCTTACAAATAAACCACCAGACTATGTTGCCCCCCCTCCCTCTCTCTCCTCAGCTGACTCTCTGTCCACCGAGAGCAGTCTTCTCCTCATAGAGCTCTACATCGCCACCCACCAACTGGACAAGGCCGTCACACACATCGACCACGTCGAGCTCAGACTCTACGGACAACCTATGAACGGCCGTGGAGACAACGACGGGGACGCCCCTGTCGTCAACGACCAGTACCGTCCCCGCATCCATTTCTGCAAGGCTCAGATTCACCTGCTGAACAGGAGTGTCAAGTCGTGCAAGAAAGAGCTGAAGAGTTACACCTCTATGGCTGGAAATGTGAGTAGTTCAGAGGTCGTGGGGAAAAGTCTTCTCTTAAATTCTTTTTCTCTCCCCAAGAATAGTTCTTGAATGCATGATTTAAGCACACCTCAATGGACACATTCATTAGTGTCTGGATTAGAGAGGTTCCACTGTATTCTGCAGACTGCCTGTGCCCAGTACCTAAAGGCCCACGCAGAGTACCTTCGCCAGAACTACCGCAAGGCCCTCAAGGTCCTAGGCTCCGCCCCCAAGAATCCGATTGGTCCGGACACTGGCGAATGCCTCAGCTCGTACTTCTTCAACGACCTCGGATGTGTTCAGTGCACTCTGGGCAAGTACAGTCTGGCCGCCCACTACTTCCGCAAGGCCTTGGAGGAGAACGACGCTGCACTCAACGGCTTCCCTCCTCTCGACAAGGGTGAGTACCTTTCTTACACCGCCAGGTCCCATTACTATTGCTATGAGCATGCCATGTTTAGCTTGTTTGTGATTAAAACTTTTTTCATGCATACTCAATGACAGCAGCTACACCTCCTCGAAAGAAAATATTTTGCTGTGCTTGCTCAGATCACAGATATTGTCACCTTTACTATAAAGGTGATTGGTTTATCGCTTTCTCCCCCCTCCATCTCTGCGGCAGCCACACTACAGGAGGCCACATGGGGGTCTGGGGTCAACTCGTCGCCACGTCATTCTCTACAACCTCGACTCCAGCAGCTGTATGCCGGTCACCCCACCGCAGCGTTTGACTCCCTGCTGGAGGTCGTGCACGGTCTATACCACACGAACCCTCGACCTGTAGGGCTGAGACTAGGCCGAGGCCGTGCATCGCTTGCACAGGCTCAGGTCACACACACTCACCACACACGTCACCTAGATTTAGTGTCCTCAGATTCAGAGTGGCTCGTATTGTTACACTACATGTTGGCTAGTTTCTCATGATTCACAAAGTTGTAGAATGGTTCAATTTTTGTTGAAAGTTCGCTCCATGTTCCCCTTCCTGTCTGCTGCAGATGGAATGAGGTGATATCTCAGAAGAAGACTATACAAGAACACCGCTCGTCACTGCACACTGGTTGGGGAAGGGTCTTCACCGAAGTCTGCTGTCGTCCGGCCCCCATGCCCAACTCAGTCTGCAAGCTCTCTACAAATAAACACACCCCTCCCTTCCCTCCAACCACACCCAAAAACCCCCACCAACACCACCAAAAAACACACCCCCCCAAACCACCCAACAAAAAAAACAACAACCCAACCCCACAAGTGTCTCTTATTTCACTATCCTCTCATTCAGTGCCGAGTCCACTCCCGTCAGCTGCATGCCACCTCCAACCCTCGAGTTTGCCGCCTAATTCTGTCTCCGAACGCCAAGTTCCTTCTCCTCCCAACACACACAGTCGTGTCAGACGACGACTTCGACCTCACCCTCCAGTCCCTCGCCCCCCTGGACCCCCCATTCTCAGGTCACACAGAAACAATCGTCAGTTTCTCTCTACAGGTCAGAGGGTCACACCAACAAGTTTCGCATCCTCATTTCTTCTCTTGTCTTCTACTACCAACTTTCATCTTTCTCCAGGGATCGTGTTTTCATGTTGTCCACATGTTTGTTTTTGTTTTCTCCTCCACCAGTGTGTCATATTATATATACGCTTCTGTGTTGACACTTGGTAGAATCGTGCTATCCTTTCCTTTTACCTCTATCTCCTGTCAGGTGTGTACGTTCTGGCACATGCCAGCTCTGTGTCTCGAGGTCTTGAGACCCAGTCCACCAGTCTGGCTTCGCGTCGCGAGAACTCCTAGCCACACACTCTTCTCTCTGGCG